ACACAGGAAGAGCCACCTGTACAAAGGCACAGAGGCAGACAGAGCGGAGAACATCGGGATGGCTGGGAGTGTGAGCGGCTCAAGGGCGGAGCTAGTCCAACGCAGGCATCCTCCTCTCCTTATGCCACCCTGGCTATGCGCACAGGGGACCTTGAGCATTGGTGGCAATGACCCTCCTGTCACAGGTGAGGCTGTAGCCCAGTCCTGGTTTCTAACCTTTGGCTTCACCTTCCTCCATGCCCCTCCCCTCAGGGCTCGTACCCTGTTCTCTGAGACTCCACAACACGGGAGACAACATTCCTGGTGCCATGTATTGGGGGAGTTCTGACCCCAGATACAGGATGCGATGAGAACTGCCACCCTGAAGCAGATACGGAATTTCAGGGTGTTTGTGTGTGTGTGTGTTTGTTTGTTTGTTTGTTTTGAGATAGGGTTTCTCTGTGTAGCTCTGGCTGTTCTGGAACTCACTCTGTAGACCAGGCTGGCCTTGAACTCACAGAGAACCACTTGTCTCTGCCTCCCCAGTGCTGGGATTAAAGACATGCACCACTACCACCCAGCCTGCATTTCAGTTTTTTAAAGGGTCTAACCCAGATTGGAAGGAGGAAGGAAGGGGGGAGGGAGGGAGGGAGGGAGGAAGGGAGGGAGGGGTAGGAAGAGAGAGGGAGCCCGTTATCCACCCCTTCATTCTTACCCCTTTTCCCTCAAGTATGCATGAAGTACAGTGCTACTCTGTGAACCAACCGCACTGGCCATCCAAAGCCAGCGCTGTGCTGAGCCACCAGCTTGTTCTAGGTATTCTCTGCCACTAGCTGAGGCACCGCTCAGAGAGTGTTGGAGGTCACCCACTCGCAAGGTTCTCAGACTTGTGAAAAATCCAGTCACGGGGCTGAGGGAAATGATGAAAGGTGCCATCCTTTCCACCTCAGGCCAGAGCTCTGGAGCCTCGGAAGTCCCCAAGCCTTTTGGGAGCCTAGAGCCTAGAGCCTAGAGCCTGGAGCCTGGAGCCTAGAGCCCCAGCTATCTCAACTCTCCTCTCCAGTGCTCATCAGACTGCGTCATGTATTGTCCGCATGCCTAGCGCTTCACTGGCGTGCAGGCCTGGGTCTCTAGGGCTACTGGCTGGGATCCCTTTAGTCTTTGACATGCTAAATGTGGGGATCTGAGGGAGGGCTCAGGGGACCAGGGAGGGCTGGGAGGAGGGGGCTGGGAGAGGATGGCGGGAGGCAGGGAACACAGCAAGTTCTACGTATTCAGAGGGGCATTCAGAATTCCTTCTGTTGGTCACTGTTCAGGAACGGCTGTGGTCCTCCATTCCACAAGAACCTTCCCCAGTCCGTGGTGTCAGCATCACACGTATTTGAATGGACTCCGGCCACTGCCCACAGCTTTGGGATGCAAGCTCTGACAGGGCCTTAGCTCCTTGAGCATGTCCACACTGTTGCTCACAGTTGAAGGCTTTGCCTGCCCTTCCCCCATCCCACTCGAGGCTCCCTCTTGCAGAGGATGTCATTTTCCTTTCGTCTCACTTCAACTCATCCCCGAAATGAGGATGCCATGAAGCTTGAGGGCCAGTAGGGAGAGGCGGTCCGGCTAGCCTTCAGGTGACCACTGTGGAAGCCCAGATCATGCTTGCCCACAGAAATGATCAGGAACAGATTGTCCCTCTGTACAGCCTCGGACCCAGGTCCTACATCGACAGGAGCCCATGGGGCTCTCCATGAGCGACAGTGGGGCCCCGTGGGGCCGAGAGCTCTGAGCTTCTTCCCACCTTCCTGCGGCCTCCTTGCTTCAAGCTGCTCTCAACAGCTGTAGGTAGTGGCTCCATGCGTAGCCCAGATAGGAAGTGGACAGAGATGCCCTGAGGGTGCCTCACACTCAAAAGAGGGTGCAGTGTGTAGAGGGGCTCCTTCCAGGACACTGGAGACCAGGAAACCCATCCCATGCAGGAGTGTGGGGCACCACAAACCCCCAAGGTGAACTGGGCCAGGACCTTACGCCAACAGAAACTCAGCTAAGACCATAGACCCCTGGGCAGCATGCCTCCCATTGCTGCCCAGAGCCACTCAGGCCCCACCCAGCCTACCCAGTGCACCATGTAGTAGAGGACTGTGGACGGCCTATGCAGTCTCCTAAATGTTGAGACAAGGGGCCCTGAGGGCTGGAGACATTGGGGACCAGTGTGTGAAAAGGGTGAAGCAGTGGGCAAGGCTAGTGCCTCCTGGAGCTTTTGTGAGTGGCGACTGGAGTAGCTGTCTGTCCCCAGGAAGGGGTGGTGCATCTGTAGAGGTCTTCCCAGGGTCTGGGCAAAGTTGAGAACAAGGCAGTCCAGAACTTGATGACTCTCAGGAAGCATACAGAAGTGACCTTCGGCCAGCTGTCTCCAGGTCAGTCAGCTCTGGTGGCTGGGACTTCGGCGGCCGGTACAAGACTGCTCAGCCCTGCTCACCTAGGTCCCTAGCCCCAACCCAGCCAGCCTTTCCTGCAGTGGCCCAGAGCTGAGGTAAGCTGCAGAGAGCCAATTATCCCCAAGACAAAGTCACTGCAGATAATTGGAAAGACAGCTTTTGACTATGGAGTCAAGCTCTGGGGTACCTCGGCTGGGACCAGGAGACTGGGTGGCCCACAGAATTGCGGCCTAATTGGGGACTCCTTGTGCTGCGGTCTGTTTGGAGTGGTGACTGGTGTTTTCTTCCTAGCCATGGAGCTGGGGAAGCCAGGACGTCAGGAGAGAGATCTGGGCTCCTCACCTCCTCCCCTGCCTCCTCGCTTGGAAAAACCACAATGTGCTTTACCACGAGTTCACTGCGCCTCCTCGGCCAGACCTTCTCAGCAGAGGTGACATCGGCACCTCACCCTGCTAGGGTAGGAAAGTGGCTATACTCCAGCCCAGACTGCTGTCTCTGAAAGAGGCAAAGAAACAGGAAAAACAAAAGGTGCTTCTAGGGGCTGGAGAGATGGAACAGCAGTTAAGAGCACTGGTTGCTCTTCCGGAGGACCCAAGTTCTGTTCCCAGCAACCACATGGTGGCTCACAAGGATCTGACTCCCGCTTCTCACGTCTACAAGCACCAGGCACACAAGATGCACAGACATACATGCAGGAGAAACACTCAGATACATAAAATACATAAAATAAATGTATCTTTTGAAAATGTGTTTCTTATTAAAACAGGTGGATCCCTCCAGCCATAGTCACCTACATGGTGCCCCAGAATTGCCCAACGTACTGTACGCCCTAGATGTGAGAAAGACAGGCAGAAAGGAAGAAAAGCAGCTACAGCACTCACGGCCACCGAGCAAGCGGACACTGTTACAGTCTCCTCCCAGTCCTGTGTCAGGGGACAGGTCTAGCCTGGGGATAAGGTGTGCAGGACCTTCTGACTTCAAACTTCAGTCTTTGGGGCGAGCAGAGCTTCCCTGTGCAGGTCCCTTGGAGTGGGCGTCTAGAGGGGAGCAAAGGCTTTGGCAGGCAGACCCAGCTGGGGTCCCCTCCAGCTGACTGCCTTCCCCAAATGAGAATTCCCAGACTGAAAGGCGCGGCCTGCGCTCAGCAGGGCCTGTCTGGGGTGGACTGGGAGGAGGGGCAGAACCCATCAGGTGGGGTTGTGGGCATACTTGAGACGGGGCAAAATGAGAGCAGGGTTCTGGGAGTTGCTTTCGGTGCCCCACGGACTGGGGTCTGAAGCAGATATGACACATCGTGTGTCTCTAAGCAACAGAACTGAGTGAAGAGGTCAAGGGACATGTGGGAAGAGTCCCAGCAGTGTGGGTTTCAGGAGCACCTTGTTCAGGGTTCAGCTCTGCTCTTCAAAGTTTCATGTGAGTTAGCCACACCCTCTGGGCAACCCCCCTCTGTCTTTTCCCCTAGCTGTCCATCGACCACCCTTGGCTCCAATACCATTGTACCGGCTCAGACCGTTGGACCATAACCTTCCTGGGCTGGAAACTATCCAGCCCCGGCAGGTCTGGCTGCTGCAGGTTGGGGAGCCAGGTGGAGTAGGGGGTAGGAAAGGTCCTCAGTGCAGCATGCCGCAGCCCCAGGAGTGTCCTGGTTAGTTCTTGTCAACTTGACAAAAGCCAGAGTCAATTGAGAAGAGGGAGCCTCAGCTGAGGAAACGCCTGCACTAGACTAGCCTGTTGGCTAACCTAGAAGGTATTTTGTTTTCCTCTATGTGTGTGTGTTTGTCTGTCTCTCTGTTTCTGTCTCTGTCTCTCCTTCCTCTCTCCCTTCCTTCCTTCCTTCCTTCCTTCCTTCCTCCCTCCATCCCTCCCTCCTTCCCTCCCTTCCTTCCTTCCCTCTGTCCGTCTGTCCATCTGTCTTTCTTTCCTTCTTATTGATCTGGGACAGCACAGCCCACTGGGGACAGGGCTCATGGTCCTGGATGGTATAAGAAACCAGGCTGAGCAAGTCTGGGAGCAGCACCGCTCCATGGCCTCTGCATCAGCTCTTTTGCGTTCCGGTTTCTGCCTTGAGTTCCTGCCTCAACGTCCTTTGATAGCGCACTATGATACAGAAATGTAAACAAATAAGCCCTTTCCTCCCTAAATTGCTTTATGGCTGTGGTGTTTCATCACAGCGATAGAAATCCTCACTAAGAAAAGAGGTTTGGGAACAGGACAGTGAAGGACTTCAGGGCAGGAGGCCGTTGGGAAAGGTAGAAACTGGCAGAGCCACGGGAAGTCCTGGCCAGTGGTGAGGATTTGGTATGACAGTTCTAGCCAGGATGTGTGGGTCTAGGTGAGCGAGCAGGACTGAGGAGTGGCCAGTTTGGAGCAAGGACTAGTGGTACATATGGTCACCAAAGAAAGACTGTCAGGGGTTTATGGGAGGTCTCTGACAAATTCTAAGACCTCTTCCTGGAGGCAGACAGGAAGGAACTAGAACCTTCTGT